GGGGGGGGTTTCTGGGTTTGGATTTTGGGTTATTTTTATTTAATTTATGACTCAATGCAATAAAATAAACATATGTAAAAGGTAACAGATCATTGTAAACTTTGTCCTGATGCATGCTCAATAATCCAGGTAGAAAAATCCAAAAAAGTTTAATCTGGTCCCCTGGACATTCAAAAAAACAAAATAAAGCAAAAAAAATGTAGAAACGTTTCGTCTTTCATCCGAAAGACTTCCTCCGTCTGAGGTGCTGTATTCAGCTCAGTCTCTTAAATAGCACCTTCTCAGAGTGAATCAACCAGTTTGCTGCTGACAACCAAAACCAGCTGATCACATGGTCAAGAAGGACCATCAGCCTAACAATGGATCATTAGCACACTGATGGCTGTTTACTATTCACAGAGGGCTGAGTGATACTAGCAATCACAGCATTGTAAGAGGGGGACAACTGAACCCGGAGGCCTCCACCCCTGTTTAATGATGGATGATTTCTTTTCACAAAGATGGCCTCCTTTACTCCTCTCTCAAACCATCGTTCCTCTCTGTCCAGGATGTGAACATCTTCATCCCTGAAAGAGTGACCGCTGGCCTGGAGATGAGTGTAGACCACAGAGTCCTAATTAGGTCCTTCTTGACCATGTGATCAGCTGGTTTTGGTTGTCAGCAGCAAACTGGTTGATCCACTCTGAGAAGGTGCTATTTAAGAGACTGAGCTGAAAACAGCACCTCAGACTGAGGAAGTCTTTCGGATGAAAGACGAAACGTTTCTACATTTTTTTGCTTTGTTTTTTTGAATGTCCAGAGGACCAGATTGAACTTTTTTGGATTGTAAACTTTGGTTTATTTACATGATTTTAATCGCTGGATGTCCGGCCCCCAAGCTGCTGGCTTTCAGAAACTGTGCCCCCCTGAGCAGTTTTGTTGAATAGCCCTGATTTAGAGTTACCAATCAGCTGCATGTTTTTGGTCTGTGAGAGGAAACTGGAGTAACTGGAGAAAACCAATGCATGCACAGAAAAAACATGCAAAACACCCAGAAAGGCCCCCAGCTGGGGTTTGAGCCAGGGCGCCCTGTTTGCTGAGAGGCTACAGCTCTCCCCACTTCACCACTGTGCTGCTCTCAAAGACAAACTATTATATTAAATCAGTTTAAATGTGTAATGTTCACAGACAAAATCAAGTTCTAAATTTAAACCATGCATTTAAAGTAACTGGGCAGCACGGTGGCGCAACTGGTAGAGCTGCTGCCTCTCAGCGAGCAGGTCCTTGGTTCAAACCCCGGTCCAGGGGCCTTCTGGGTGGAGTTTGCATGTTCTCTCTGTGCATGCATGGGATTTCTCCGGGTGCTCCGGTTTCCTCCCACAGACCAAAAACATGCATGTTAGTCTGATTGGTAACTCTAAATTGTCCCTAGGTGTGAGTGAGAGACTGAATGGTTGTTTGTCTCGTTTGTCTCTATGTGGCCCTGTGATGGACTTGCGACCCGTCCAGGGTGTACCCCGCCCCTCGCACAGTGATTGCTGGACATGGGCACCGGCGACCCCCGTGACCCAAAATGGAATAAGCGGGTAAAGATAATGGATGGATGCTAAAAAAAAGAAAGTAAACATTATCTATTTGATTGGGCAGGATTTGTTTTAAAAGTGCCCCCCCCCCCCCCCCCCGCCCCCGATTCAGCCAGTCGACAAGTTGTTTCATTTCTGTTACTGTCTCTTAAACGTTATGTTTGACATTTGTCATGCTTACTTAGGTCAGCCTCAGGTATTGAGATGACTTTAGGGATGAACATAGATCCATCTGGGAAACAAATGCAAGAATTAATAATTTTATATATAAAACTTCTGTCAGTCAGATATTAGATATCTTGCTCACCAGTTGGGTCTTGAGCTGCAGTTGGTGTATTCTGCAACACAGAAACACAAAGCTGCTCAAACTTTCACCGTACTTAGTTTTGTATTTTAGATCCACTAATTTAATTTGTCTTTGTTTTTTAGTTTATCTCAATTTAGACATTTTGGATTGTCACATCATGAGTCATATAAAAATAATCTATAATTCAATGTCACAATGTCAAAACTCAGAATGAAACCTACCAGAGAAACATCTGCCACTGAGAGGAAGATGAGGAGGAAGAAAGCTGGAGTCATGATGATGGTCGGCAGCAAACAAACTTCTAACTTAAAAATAAACAAACAAACAAGGAAATTATGAAAACTAATGAATAAAATATTACAAATGATTTGTATACAAGTACTGAAGATACAAATGAACGTTATAAGAAGATGATGAGTTTACCTGATGAACCAGGAGTCTGATGCTGGGTGCATCTGATGTTCAGCTGCCCTCTGTTTATAACCTAACACCCCACCACGTTTAAACAGGAAATAGGCACAGCGGTCAGTTAGCATCGCAGACTTTGGTTTCAGACAGGAAGTGTATTTAAAGCTAGTTAATACAGACGAAAACTTTTCCACACAGCAGAAATACATCAAGATTGTTAAAGTAGCAAATGCAGTTAAAATACACGGAAAACCTTGCAGGTAACGTACAAAATTTACATGTAACATTTTATAAAACAAATATCATGGTGAGTCGTAAGTGACCAGCTTTCCCCCCTAATTCACCCAAAGTTCATATATTTTTTGTACTCTATTAAAGTCAGCAATAATATAATCCCACTGACTCAAAGACACAGTAGAAGCTTAAAACATGAACAGCTTTGGTCACAAGAAATAGAAATGTACACACTATAAGGTGATGAGAGTCTGAAAAAAGCTTCCTCTGATTACAGTAGGTTGTTTTACATAAAAACCCAAAATAAAATATAAAACAAATTAAATTGGTGCAAATTTGATTAGTTGTCCTAGCAGTTTAAATGTTGTTATGGGGGTGGGATGTTGTCTTTGTTTGTTTCATTGCAGCTGTTGCATTCACATCAGTGGGTTTTTGTTGTAATGGGCGGTAAGCAGGACATCCCTGCACGGAAATTTCTAGAGAATTTGAAGAGAAGTTTTACTCAAAGTCTTCCCTGTTTTGAATATGAAACAAGATTAAAAGAGTAGACCAACAAACACATTTAAAATTACAACAACATACTACTGTCACTCAGATGAAAAAAAACTCAAGAAGGAACACTGTATTTTTTGCTTTTTGTAGTTAGAGTGTAAATATTGAGATGCTTTTCTGTCAGTTTTCTGGGGATGATGGTGTTAAATGCTGAGCTGTAGTCTACAAACAGCATTTGAACACAACAGTGGCGGCTGGCCAATACAGGGTGCTAGGGTGCCGCCCCACCACTCATCACATTACCTTGAATAAGACATAAACAAATTAAATAAAATAACAAAATAAAAAATAATTTGAAATAAACAGTATGTATATATTTTTGGTTGTGTAAGATAAATATTTTATAGTTAATGACGTTGTCTGATTGGTGACCAGGGTTGGGCATCGTTTGAATTTGAGCAATTCCGGTTCTGATTCCGATTCTTAGTTTCAATTCTGGTTCATATCAATTCCCTATTCCGATTCTTTTTAGAGCCGAGATTAAAAAAAGACATGCTATTTTAAAACAGTATATAAATATCAAACTTATGAACTTCAATATGTTATGAATTTCTACAAGAGAGTTTTATGTTTGAAAACCTCATGGAAACACATTTCCACATGTCCATTGTATGATGCTGCAGCCAGGTTACTGAGCTTCCACTGATGGGCTAACCTGCTACAGAATATCAAACAAAATTATTATTATTATTATTATTAAAAAGAACAACTTGTACAACCCAGTCCAGATTAGCAGCAGGTATACCGTATAAATTCAGAAACTGTTCTTGTTGAGAAAAATGATCATATCTGCTTCTCAGGCAGTATGTGTGAACGTCTCCTGCAGTGGAGAACACATGCTTGCTGGGTGTGGAAGAAGCTTGAACACATAAATATGAGAAAGCAAGATCTGACAGCAAAGAATAAGTCTTGTGTTGGTTCCACCACCAGCAGCAGGTCCTCAGACAGAACGGCTGGTGGAATGTCCCGGTCCATCTTCAGCCTTCTCTCCACTTGTTTCTTCATGGACACGGAGCTGTGACATGTTCTGTGCCTCTTCCTCAGCAAAAAGCTCCTCCAGTGCCGACTTTCTGGACAGATTGCAGGTAGGCAGTTCCTAAACAAATAACAGGTTCATCAGTAGTATCACTAAAAAGGGATTATTAAAGGCATGATCATTATTAAGACTGAGAATGTATATAATTTCAGCTATCATATACTTACACTCTCATCCTTATCCTCCACTCCCTCATTCTCAGGTCTTTCCTCAGACTGCATGGTGACCCCATCATCTCCACAGTCTTCCTCTGTTAACCACAAAGAACATTACTAGTATTTAGATTTCACACTTTAAAAGCAGAAAAGGCCAGTTGTGAATGACATTTCACCTGTTCAATCAGCTTTCTCTGGATCTGCTCCCAGACACCGTCATCCACCTTCTGTTTAAAGCACAAAGCAGCTCTTCTCCACCTATCAAGTATTTGACAAGTGGTCGGTGGTAGGTGGTGTGTACTTGGGTTGATGGTTTTCACCATGTCCCTGCAAACATATAAAACAAACATGTAATGTCACAGTTACTGTAACGTTAGCTTAGGATGGACTGTTAATTAGCTCTATTGCTGTTGCCTAACTAACCTAAATATTGGTGATTCCACATTTGAAAAGGTATGCAACCTTTTCACAATATATGCAGTATATCAATCAACCTTTATTTAGACAGGTAAATCCCATTGAGCCTCGAGGACTCATTTACAAGAGAGACCTGATTTCAACAAAGAAAGATGACAACAATGGACAACAGCAACAACAATAAACAATTATAAAAAGTCATACTCCAGGGTTTTTTTTTGGTTTTTTTTACAAATAGGATGGCTAAAAGGAAAAGGTAACAACAACAACAACAAAAAAAAACCCCCAGCTAGATTCTAAGGTGAATGTAGAAAACTAAAAACAGGAACATGTCTGCATTGGTCCTTGCCAGGAGTCCAACAGATTCTTAAAGCCACTTAGAGAGGTCAAGGTTGAGAGCTTCAAATCTTTTTGTAAGATATTCCAGGAAATATTCCAGTAACCATTCTGTGGCACTCTTCATTCAGTTGCACCGACGTATTTCCTTTGGAGAACTCCTTGGTGAACAAAGGATCACATCGTGGAGCCTGGCTAACAATATTAGCCATTTTGGGTCATTTGTCTAAGAAAAAAATACGAGCTAACGTTAGCATGGTGTTTGCATTTGAGTTGACCTACCGCTTTAAGTCGAGTATAACTTGTTGGATGCCTTAATGTTGGTATGAGACATAGTTTATAGTTTTATTTACCTGATGGAGCCGGAGGAGGAGGCAGCAAAACCAGTCTGGTGGAGTGCGTCAAGGACGGGCCACTCTGTTAGTTCTGAGGGTCAGACCCGGTCCGGAAGAGGAGGTAGCGAAAATAGTCCAGTGGAGCGCGTCAAAGACGGGCCACACTTTTAGTTCTACACCCTCCTTTGCACAATATAAAATTATTACACGTGCTGCACTGAGCTGACTGGTCATTTTTATTAAAGTTAAGCCACGCTTTTGACCATGGCTGCTCACTCTCCAAGTATGGGAACACTTCCGATGGATTCTTCTTCGTAGGTGTTATAATGAGGGTTAGCCAGATAATACAGACTGAGAGGATAAAAGAACCAGACTCAAATATAATTGAAAATGTTTATCTACAGTGAAAAATAGAAATTATTTACAAGCAGGGTCTGGGGCTGTGGAGACAAAGGAGGGGGATTACTTCACGGCAGGTAATATTAATCCAACAGATGATTGACCAAAATCTGAGGCTCTTACAATTGTTGGATTTCATTATGTCAGGCAAAGAAGGGCTGTGGGCATCAGGCCGCACGACTCTATTTGGGGTTCAGACGTACCAGACAAATTTAAACACTGGACAGTAGGAGAAAAGGTCATGCTTTCACTTTTTCCGTGGGCTGGGGTTGGTAAGCTACTGTTACGGGTGGAAACCTTAGATTACCGTTTTGGGATTTTCATTAATTCAACAATTAAGGCGCTGGAGGGCATATCAGCGGAGTTGTCAGCCTTGAGAGTGATGATGTTACAGAATAGGATGGTGTTGGATTTGTTAAAGGCATCTAGAGGTGGAGTGTGTGAGATTATTGGTAAAAATGCATGTTGTACTTACATCCCTGATGAGAGTAGTCAAGACCCCCCAGGGCAGAGTGACTGAGGCATTGGCCCAGCTGAGAGGCCTGCAGGAGGCGAAGGCTAAAGAGCTGCCTGCAGGATCCTCAGGGTTTTGGTCATGGTACATGAGTGGGTCTTGGAGTCAGCTGCTGATCAAACTGTTGGTACCTCCTTTGGCTATTATTGTTCTTTTTTGTGTTTTGTTGGGTTGCATTGCACCGTGCGCTAAAGCAACAATCGCGCGGATGGTTAACTTTGATGGAGTGGTGGGCACAGGTACGGTGTGTCCTGTGATCCGGGCCAGTGAGGACTCCTCGTAGTCAGGACAGGACCACCTGCAGTTGGCTGAGACAAAATACCTGTAGCCTTTGAAGTTTAGTTGGTCTATCATTTTTTTTAAACTGTCCCCCTCATCAACTGATGATTTTAATGTGACTTACTAATTGTTATTATGATACTAATTATATTTAGTCAAACTGTCTTAGTCTAAGTTAGAGAGAGAGATGTGGTCTAAATTATTTTATGTTAATCCGTCCCTGAGTGTTGGCTAATCCTCCTTAGTGAGAAGACAGCCCTTCCTCTGCTGTAATTAAAAAGTATCTTACCTGACAATGGGCCCGTTGTGATTCGCTTGTAATTATATCAAAATGTAAATTTCTAACATTGTGAACTTATGTGATTTTCCTAGCTAATGTGAGATTATATATCTATAAGCAAAATAATTGATTAACATTCTGATTAACATTTAAATGATTGTAAGGTAGTGAAAGAATGACACATAAACACATTTTAATACATGAAATTTCAAGCTTGATTAAAATAATACTAAAAGATAAAACATGAAATCCAACACAATAGAAAGAGTTGAGATGGCTGGGTGAGTAAGGCTGAGGATTTTCCTCCAAGGGCGACAGGACCAGGCAGTCTGC